GTTTGATCAGTTTCAAGGGGCAGCAGTATTTTCGAAGATTGATCTTCATTCTAGTTATCATCAGATAAGAGTCAAAGAAGAGGACATACCGAAGACAGCTTTCCGTACTCGTTATGGGCACTATGAGTTTGTCGTGTAGTCCTTTGGTCTGACTAATGCCCCTGCTGTGTTTATGGAGCTGATGAATCGAGTATTCCAGAATTTCTTGGATTCTTTTGTGATTGTGTTCATTGTTGATATCTTGGTTTATTCCAAGACAGATGTTGAGAATATATTTGAGGAAAGTCCTGTTGTTACTACGTGAACAAAAACTATATACCAAATTCTCGAAATGTGAGTTCTAGCTTCAGAAGGTGGTATTCCTTGGCTATGTGGTATACAAGGATGACATAGTTATTGATCCAGCAAAGGTGGAGACAGTTATAAGTTATAGGTTGGGCTCGACCAACTACCGTTATTGAGGTGAGAAGTTTCCTAGGTTTAAGAGGGTATTACATACAATTTATTAAAGACTTTGCGAAAATTGCTAACTAGAAAAGGAAAGGCACTTGAGTGGAGTTGAGCTTGTGAAAGAAGTTTCAAGAACTCAAGGAAAGACTGGCATCAGCACCCGTGCTTACTGTACCTGACGGTATTGAGAATCTGGTAATTTATAGTGATGCCTCTAAGAATGAGTTGGGTTGCGTACTTATGCAGAACGGGAGAGTTATTGCTATTAGAATTGCACAACAACACACACTCGATCTAGATGAACACAAAATATAGGAGAGAGAATATTGGGTAAAGGTTTTATATTGGTTACGGTAGAAAATATATTTTCAGTTTACTATATATAGCTTTACCAAATATAACCAATTTTTTACCAAATATAACCCATTTTCAAATCTCTTTAATATATATGATTCAGTTTACTATATATAGCTTTACTATGTAAAGTATACTTTACTATGTATTGACTGTTGACTAAGTTATAAATAAGCAGCAAAATCTATAACCTAACAATTCTTCCACTTCGAGACTGATCCAGTCAACCAAGAATTTCATTCTCAAACGACTGATCCAGTCAACCAAGAATTTCATTCTCAAACGACCATCAGCATCTTCACTGCACCATACCAATTGAGGCTTTGCACAACCTCACTATTCCAACATCAACACATTTTATCAACATGTTTGCTAGATTCTTTGCACCCTCTATCCACTCCAAACACATCCCCATCTTCCACTAACCTGCAAGTGAAATAGTATCGCCTTCTGTGTTTCGTCTTTGTATGATAGATCGGGTTCCTCACCAACTGTATGACACTCTGACTATCTTTATAAAAAAACTTTTATGATAGACCGGGTTCCTCACCAACTGTATAACACTCTCACTATCTTTATAAAGAATCTTTTTGTGCTGCTTCTTGCCCAATTCTTCCAGATAGTCAGTCATCCATATCATCTCCTTTTCAGCTTCAGCCATTGTCACGTACTCAGCTTTTCAACTTCAGCCATTGTCATGTACTTAGTTTCAGTACAACACACTTTTGAAGTCTAAACATCCCATCATCCATGGCTTGCTCCTACTTGGTTGTATCCTCCAACTGTAGCATCAAAGAACTCTAGTTCCCTTTCACCTCCCTTTCACCAGAGTCAGCAATAGATAGTGGAATAAAAGTACATACATATCTGTGGTACTCTGATAGTATTGAATGATCTTTTCAACACCGGTTCAAGTGTCACTTGCTCCACCACTGGTTCCTCTACAACAATCTCAGGAGTTTCTTGAGTATCTGTTACAACATCACTAGGTGATTTTTTTTGCAACTCAATCTCAACTCCACTTGCTTCGTTGTCTTGGAACCTTGATCTACCTCTGGTTTCTCAGCAATAGTCTCAGGAGTTTCTTGAGTATCTACTAACATTACGAGGTGAATTTTTCTACAACTCAACCTCAACCTATAACCTAGGCTCTGAAACCAACTTGTAACACCTGCTCATCAACAGCTCGATTCACAGGAGTTACCACTGACATCGACAGCTCAAACACAATAGTAACAGAACTCCGTGGACATCAGTGTTGTGAGATCTCACATCGTTTGGAGAGAGGAACAAGTGCCAACGAGGATGCTAGACCCTAAAGAAGGTGGATTGTGAGATCCCACATCGGTTGGGGAGGAGAACAAAACACCCTTTATAAGGATTTGAAAACCTCTCTCTAGCAACTCGTTTTAAAAACCTTTTGGGCTCGATGGACTTGGGATGCGCTATTACAGATGTAATATACTTAAACATTAACACATATATACATAAAGAGAGAAGGCTAAACTTACCTCTAAAGGAACAAAATGTGTTGCAAGCCCAGCTGCAACCAGTTCCTTGCCGTTCAACCTGGACCCAGTTAACCCCAAGTATTCTCCTGCAAATGTCCACATCGTTATTCAATCAACTTAGGAAAAAGATGTCAAAATTTTCAGTTTAGTTAAAATCAAGAGATATTTCGATTTTGATGAACTTTCAACCAAAGAAAAAGAGCATGAACTCTTAAAGAAAATGTTTAGAATAAATTAAGTGAACCTTTTAAGCTATTATGTCCAGAAATGCAACTCAAAAGAGTTCATTTTCAATTTTTTCTTACCCAAATGTCCAGGAAGATGAGAAAGCATATAAGAGAAACCACAATCAGTGTGAAACCCAATACTTGCTTCTGGAGTGGCAAAAACCTGTATCAAAGAATCCTTGAAACTCATCTCTTCGGAATTACTAAGGAAACTGAAATCAAACAACGTCTAAAATAGACAAAAAAAAAAAAAAAAAAAAA